ATTTAACTATAGTTGTGCTTTGCATCTTGCCCTACAGTTAAATTATTTCTGGTAGGAATAAATTCCAATTGTAACAATTTACAACTCTGGTTGGATGATCTGATTTTATTTATTGATCCTACCGCAGTGCCCTAAGTCTCTCATCCTTATGACCAAGACTTAGTTAAGACTAACCCGGGGCGAGTCAGTACCCTAGTTACGGGTTTCGCGCCTAACCAACGTAAACCGGGCGTCTCACTTGGGTGAGTCCGTTACCGATCTAAATTGGGTTTGACGAGTGACGGGGCGTCGGGGTGGCACAGACTTAAAATTATGAGGGATTTATAACGCAGTCTTGCCTATGGCATACACCGCGCGTATGCACTAGCGAAAATCACATACATGCATACATTCAATCATACATCACATGCATAATAAGTAAACGTGAAATGATTGTGGCTCCTAAAGAAAAACAAACGATAGCGCCTTGATCAAGAGATCTCTATCTCCGGCCCATCACGTCTTCCTTAGGATTCTCTATCACGAACGGACTTCGTCTTCTTGTCTTCTTATAATTTTCGAGAGAAAAGAATATTTGAGGTAAAAAAGAGAATTACATCCAGAGTATAGAGATGAGGCACGACACGCAGGCCGTATTTAAAATTACAACAAATATAACTAAGCCACAATCATCCACCATGCAATAATACATACAAGCATCACATGCATCACATCACACATAAAATACTTTAAATTTCCAGAATGTTAGAAATTTGATTTTCTAAATTCCAGAAAATAAAATATTTTATATTTACCGTATTTATATATATTTAAATTCGAAAAAGGGCTTTTATTTCGAATTAAATATATATATGTTTTATAAATTAGAAAATAATTATTCGAGACTCCCAGTAAACTTTATTAATCTGGAAATCCTAAAATTCCAGAATGAATAAAATTTAAAATTTTGAAAACCATTTTTCAAAGATAGAAAACCGAAATTATATTGTGAAAATATATTTCGAAATTCCAAAAATATCAAAATTTATTTTAAAAGTCAAAAATAAGTTCCAGAACCAGAATATGATTTTTTCTAGAATTTAAAATATTTATTTTGCAATTTAAAATAATTAAAAATCGAACTAGTGAACAGTACCGGTCCAATTACTTCAAAAATACAAAATAAATACTTTTACGTGTTTAACAATTATGAAAATTTTTATACAAGCTTAAAATCTCTGGTCGCAACTTATTATGAATTAAAATTAATTTTTGATCGTCAAAAATAAGTTTTCCCATTTTCTATTCAATAAACGAATTTAAAAATAGAAAAATAGGAAATTAATTCCAAAAATCGATTTTAAAATTTATGAGTTATATTGACATGTCAAATACTTCCCAGAAAATATAAAATCTAATTTTCATAAATATTAAGTATTTATGGCACAAATAACAAGTATTCTACACATAAACTACTTAATAAGAATAATATAAAAATACCCCAAACAGTAATTCCGAAAATTACTAAACAAAATAATATTAGGTCCAGTATCTAAATATGGCCACCTAATTAAATTTTAATGGGATAAATTTTTGTCTCCAAAATTTATTGACTAATCTACAAAAACAATAACGGTAAAAACTACTAAACTAGTAACTTCGTAAGCCGGCTCTGATACCACTGTTGGGAAACGAGGCTTGGATAACGCAGCGGAAAACAAAAATTTATAGTCCAAAACTCGATTCCACCCAAAAACAACTTACGTAAATTACTATGGGTTTGAAGAAAGGGCTCCAGCGGAGACCTCATTGCTGAGTTATAGAGTGGAGACATTTGACGCCCAGGAGAATGAAGAAAACTTGAGGGCAGAGCTGCACCTAATTGATGAGCGGAGAGAAAGGGCGTACATACGGGCGGAGAACTACCATCGGCAAGTCAAGTCGTATCACGACCAACGGGTGCGACCAAGGCAGTTCAGAGTAGGCGACTGGGTCCTTAGGAAAAGGGAGGTCAGTGGCCGACCGACGGAGGGAAGTTCGCTAAGAGTTTCGAAGGGCCATACATCATAAAGGAGGCGTTGGCCGATGGGACGTTTAAATTGCAAACACCAGCTGGAGGCGACGTTCCGCGAGTATGGAATGCCGCCAATCTTATTAAATTTTATCAATAGATTGTATTTCAGCCGTGTTTCTCTTTTTAAAAGTTTAATAGGACCAGCATTCTGGAATATCTTTACCTCCATCTCGAAAAAAGAAAAAAAAGAGAAGCGACCAAAGAGATCGCTAATCGAAGCTGTATGGTGATTCGCACTAAGACACCCGCCAGGGGATGAAGTGCCGAACCCTGTCAAGCGACCAAGATTGAAGGCTATCGAGGAATGCTCGCTCCCCAGTCGTCAGAGCGACTATAGGGGCGGTGCGACTAACCAGAGGGCGACGCCGTGGCGAGAAAGCCTAAGAAAACGGCTAAGTCCGGAGCATAAAATCTGCTGATCGTATGAACGGCCTGAAGGCGCATGAGCGACCTGCGGACCTTGGAAGTATGGCGACACCATAGGGGTTAAAACAACCCAAAAATGGCTAAGTCAAAAGAGGCGAGGTATTCTCTAACTAAGGTTTGAGAAAGCCTAAACACTCAAAATGAGATGCAAAAGAGAAGAAGATGGGACTTGTAAGTAAACAGGTAACATCAAAGCACATTTATGAAAATGTTTATTACATTTCAAGGATAATCTCTTGCGTCTACACATACAATACAGTTGAGAACAATCTCTACATACTTCCAAAAGAAGGGAGATTTTCCCATACATTTCTTACAAGGAAAAAGAAGAAAGAGATGAAATCCAGAACTTTGCGCGGCTGAAGCCCGGAAAGGATAAAGAGTCCAGGGGAAAAGGCAAGGTTGAAGGGTAGTTCTGCAGCTGTATAGGCCATCAGGACTCCGATCACCGGCCGTCCAGAGCGACCACCTTTCTTCTCCATCATGGAATAGGAGTGGTCGCCCCCAGCCGCGGAAAAAACCCACCATCCTTCTCCCGCAGGGGAAGGAAGGGAGGCGACTCACTTTTCTGTGAGCCCCAATCGGCATCACCTAGATGACGATGCAGACCCTGAGGCCGCTCGAGCTACCCCAGATCGCCTAGGGGCCTTCCAGGGAGGTGAGCGACCAGCGGGGCGGGGTAGGGAAGAACCCAGTTCTTCCCCCACCACAACCTCATCTTTAGGCCTCACCGGCGAGCTGGTGCAACTCTCGCTAGTCCATCGCTCCAAACTCGTGTAATACGCACTCTCATGCTCTAAGAGGGGCAGGTGCTCATTCTGCATGCTCTCCCAGGCCATGCACTGCAGCGAATGGAGCGGGCATGGGGCATCCCAGTAAATCCGCCCGTCGGGTAGACGGTTGGCAGAGAGAGCCTTGTACGCCTCGCTGAAATCATCATAAGGATTTGGGGGTATCGGTGGCGGTTTCACTGATGGCCACTACCGACGAGGCAACCGGCGGCAAAATTCGTAGGGGTCTAGCTCCCCCCTAGTCATTGGAGTTAACTGACTTGGGGGAGGAGGCAGGCTCCGGCGAAGAAAGAGCCGGCCCATCAGAGAAAGTATTTGGTGATGGAACAAAGTGAAGGCTAGGGAGGGGGGCTTATAAATAAGCCCAGGTGAAGAAACCGAAGAGGCGGTCAAGTCCCAAGGCAGCTGAACCGATAAAGCAACCTTGAGCCGCGCGAAGGTCCGATCAGAAACTGCAATGGGCATTGGGTCAGTTGGGGTGCACGTTGGCCAATCTTGAGGTTGGGCCGGCTCATGTATTTGGGCCGAGGTTAAAAATCATGCCAAACGAGAGAACATTGTATCAAAATCATTCCAAAGAAAATCATAAGTGTTTACAAAATTGAGGGAGAACAACAGGGGAGGTTAGACGCTCGAGCTGGGATTTCCACCCGCCTTGGATGTAGCTAAGCTGGCCCCCGGATTCTGGTCGCCATATCCATCTTCCTCTTCTTCTTCTCCTTCTTCATAAGCGCTTGAGATCCCTCCGTCCAAGTAAGGACTGGGGTCGAACTCGGCCAAGGAGCGACAGGGAGAAGGGAACCCGAGGTCGGGAAGAGAGAATCCTTTAGGAAGCTGGGCTAACCTGTCACGGAAGACCTGTTGGGCGCAGAAGAGTCCACAGTTGAAGGACTTGGTTCCCTCATTGACCATCCATTGAGCCCCAGGTTCAGTTTTGAGCCATTCGGCTATTACCGTGCCCAACTGCTGGATCAGGTCAGATTTCTCCCCTTCTAGCTTGACCACGCGAGCAGAGACATATTCTACCTCCGAGGACAATGAGGCCTTATCTGCCTCAAGAGCGACGCAGCGGTCCTCTTGGGAGGCTTTTGTTGGGAAATGAGGCTTGGATAACGCAGCGGAAAACAAAAATTTATAGTCCAAAACTCGATTCCACCCAAGAACAACTTACGTAAATTACTAGCTATAGTAAGAAATTTACCTTAACGGTGAAAACGGAGAACGGAGGAACGGTCGGGGATGGTTTTGAGGAGATGAACGTAGCGCCAAACGTATGAAGCCTCCAACGTATCCACACAAGCTTGCTCCGGAGTCCAAGATTAAACTTGTGCTAGCAAGTTTAATATAGGATAGTAAAAACTATAATAATACTACTTTGGGAGTAATAAATATATAGTAAAATACTTATCTTATAAATATTTCTTTATAATATTTTGTGTATATTTCTAACACTTTAAAAAAATAACTTTGAAGACAAAATATAATTTTCTTCTCTCTAAAATTGGGATGGCCGAAAATTTTAGATATGTTTTTCAAAATCAAGACCTCATTTTATAATAAAGTATATTTAGGAAATTTCTAGGAAATTAATGTTAAGCATAAGTCCATGTATATGTCTTAACACCATGTGTAAATGTTTAATATCATAGCTACAAAACAAAATAGAATCCCTACATCAAATAATAATCAAATATATTAATTTGACATTAAAAATACTTTATGTATAAAATCAAAATGGTCTTGGATTTTCTTCTTGAAATTTCGTACATCACATATTTGAAATATATCATATTTTATTTTTGACATCAATAATTATCATATAATTAAAATGATGAAAAATAAAATAATATATATATATA